CGTATGTATTTGATAAAAAGATCAAGTGAAAAGTAAAAAAATATAACTATTATATCAATCTATACCTATAGCTATATAACATTCTTAGCAATGGTACAAACTTCTTTTCGGTATCTGAGGTTCTAGAAATAGTAATGTGGCCTGTTAATAACAAACATGGACATCACTATTACAAAGATACATTTCACCGCAATCACAATTAGGGCCTAATCCAACACCCAGTGAAGTCATGGAATCACAGATTTTAAAGGCTGAAGAGACTGTTAGGATCTTCTAATCTGACCTCCTGCATATCACGGGCCATAAAATATCAGCCAGTAATTCCTACATCAAGCCAGTAAATTTTAGTGGAGTTAGAGCAGATCTTTTGGAAATACGTCCAGTCTTGATTTAATGACTTCATATCAAGGAGACTCCCCATATCCTTTGGTAAATTGTTTCAATGGTTAATTAGCATGAACAAATTCTAAGCCCTTTGCAATCCCTGTTACTAGGATCAGAAACTTGATCTCTCAAGTCTCATTCACACAGCAGCAGAGCCTTTCAGGAGAGGATTATTACCCTCATTTTACAGACAGGGAATGGAGACACAGAGAGATGAAGTGTCCCAAGGCTTAATGAGCATTGGCTCAGGCCTCTGGAAGAGCCAGGAAGTGTTCCCCATTAAAGAACATGATTCGTGTGCCTTTCTGGTTAAACATCTTCCAAGGAATAACAATCAGAGGTTTGGGCTGTGAAGGTCATCTATAGATCTGTGTCTCAAGTATTATTTTAATTATGGTAACACCTAAAATCCCCAAAGGCCTCATTGCCCCAGGCACTGTCAAAACACAAATTGAGAGAGGCCCTGCCATACAGAGTTTACAGTCGAGATAGACCAGATGAGTGGAAGGGGAAACAGATGATAGAGAGGTGAAGGGACTTGCCTAAGTCACACGGCAGATCTGTTGCAGAAACAAAAATAGAACCCCAGTCTTTTAAGTCCTAGTGCAGTACCATAACCACTGGACCACACTGCCTTTTCGTGTGGGGAAGTTCCTCCCTTTCCCTGCAGCTCCTATACAGCCCCCTCTCAATATTACTTTCCCTCTTCTGTTGGTTCCTGCGAAAATGAGGGTGAGTTTCAGCTCAGGTGTCTGTTTCCATTCCAATCTCTGGGCAGAGGTGTTAGGGGAGTTGTCTGCGGGGAGAGCTAGAGGAGAATCAGATACTGTCCTGCCAGTTACATAAAGAGACACACCCACCAGCAGGGAGCTGCTTAAGGGCTTGTCTATACTTACGCGCTGGTTCGGCGGCAGGGAATCGAACTTCTGGGTTCGATTTATCGCGTCTAATCTGGACGCGATAAATCGAACTCAGAAGTGCTCCCCGTCGACTCCGGTAATCCTGCTCACCGCGAGGAGTAAGCGGAGTCGACAGGGGAGCCTGCCTGCCGGGTGTGGACCACGGTAAGTTCGAACTAAGGTACGTCGACTTCAGCTACGTTATTCACGTAGCTGAAGTTGCGTACCTTAGTTCGATTTGGGGGTTTAGTGTAGACCAAGCCTAAGACTGCAAAATCCAGAGTAACAGCTGAGTAGCTAATTAATTATTCAATAACCCAGATTTTGTCTTTCAGCCAATTTATAAAGCACTGGTATTAGGGGTGTGAAATACCGATAAACCCTACTCGAACCTGATTCGCACATACTGCCCGATCCACTCACCTCAGCTTTCTCTCCATAGGAACTAAAGGGAAACCACCTCAGACCCTGTTTACCGAATGCCCGAACTCTACGAGCTGCACAGGTATCTCTGCTTCTCTGTGTCTCCCACTTGGTTCCTAAGGACTTTCCCAGCTGTCTCAGTAACATGTGAGGTTTCTGCATTTCTAGACAGGGAGAAGTTACGTGTCGTGGGGGAGAGGACAGATGCTCGGGGAGAGTGGAGGTTTGGTACCGTGGCTCCTGGGGAACAGTTTGTGATGACTCCTGGGACATGGCGGATGCTAACGTTGTGTGTAAACAACTGGGCTGTGGATCTGCTGTATCTGCCCTGGGCGAGGCTGCATTCGGTGAGGGGACGGGTCCCATCTGGGTGGAAAAGGTGAACTGCAGAGGGACAGAGTCATCTCTCTGGGACTGTTGTTCCAAGCCCTGGGGTGAGAGTAACTGTGATCATAAGGAAGATGCTGCCGTGAATTGCTCAGGTGAGTGACAGGAGATGTTTCTGTTACCTGCTGTAATTTTCAGGGAGGAGGATGGATGAGCCCACCCACCCCGCCTTGGTCACAGACCAGGCCCTCCCATCTCCTGTGTGAAAGAGCATCATGGATGCGGTGGGGTGGAACCTTTATTGAGTTAGATTGGGTAAGACATCAGCTGACATAACCCCTGCATCCCTCACAGGCCCCAGTGTGCTGGTTTGTTACTAGAGTCCTCATCGCTGCACAGAGCACAAGGGACTTGGGCCCTAAATCACTTTGTGGAGGTAACAGCTGGAGACAACCAGGGACTCTCAGAGGTGAGGTTCCCCCGGGTAACAAACATGTCACTTCCCCCTTGCTCCAGGCTCTAACTCTCCTCCCTTTCCCTTGCAGGTGTGACACAGACGACAGATTCACCAAATACCCCAGGTAAACCCTCCCCCCTTCTCCATCTAGTGTTAAATTTCCCTGGGGCTGGGTCACAGCGGAGGTGCTGCAAGCTGCAGCCTGAGGGAAGGAGCTCCTTTCCATGGCCTGTGACATCTGAGAGCGAAGGACACTCGGGTGGGAGCTGCAGGCCCTGCTGAGCAGGATGATTCCTGTCTCATGGCTTCAGCTGACAAGGCAGGGCCCATGATTTAAACAGCAGCCTGTGAGCTGCACCAGTGGAGCAGAGACAGTGTCCCAGCCCATTACCCTGCTGTCCTGGGCCGGGCAATGAATGACTGGGGAGCTCCCTGCTCCCCCCTCCCCGCGACTCTCACAGGATAATCTCTCTTTGTTGCTTGTTCATTTCTATCCAGCTCCTCTGCGTCGCCCTCTGACTGACAGTGGGAGAGTCACAGTGCCCATGGTCATCTGCATTATCCTGGGGGCCCTGCTCTGCCTGGTCTTAATCATCCTGGGGGCGCAGGTGCGAAGTGCCAGGGCACAGCGCAGAGGTGGGTCCTTATTGGTGTCACTGTGTGAAATGCCTCTGCAATAGCAGGGGGACTGCAGGGTGTCAGAGTGAGCGGTGATACCAGGCTGGGTGGGGTGGCCGAGGGTGCCTGTTAACTCCTCTCTCATTTAATATTTCATTAACTGTCTGGCAGTGGAACAGCCCAGCCATGAAATCTGGAGATGATACTAGCTAGGGAGCATCATAGTTTAAGGGAAACTGCACCTGTATCCCCCCCACTCCCTCCCCGTGGTGCACTCCAGGAGTGCCAAATCACACCTCAGGCTCCAGGCATCACCTGTCTCAGGTTAGAACCCCCCCAGTCCCATCTCCTGCTGACCAGGGTCTAAAGGCTGCACAGCCCCCTGCCTTCCACTGTGATATCTCCAGAAGCCAGGCTGCTTAAAGGCCAGCCCCCGGGCTGTGCTTTCTCTCCGCGTGCTATGAACAGTGTATTGCCAGCAGTTACAAATTACCTCCCAACTCTTTCTCACGTGACTGCACCTTATTAGTAGGATAAAAGCTTCACAGAGAAAACACACACAAAATACAAAATTCCTCCACACTTATTGAACATACCAGAAATCACCCATCTTCCTCATGGGCAGCCTGGTACAGCAATGTCCCTTCAAATCATACAGCATTGGCCTTCCCATGTGGAGAAGAGCCTGTTCATTTCCTGAATTAAAACCAAGGCCCTGAGTTTGTTTAAACTCAGCCTTTTCTACCAAAAGTCTTTCTTTGTCTCCTGGTCTCTGGTATCCAAGGTTGTACCAGTCCATGCATATTGCTCCAAGGCCTGGTACCTTTCTGGATTGTTTACAATCTCAGTGTTTCACCTCAATAATCCTCCATTGTTTTTTCTTCCTGGAGGACCTGTGGTAACCCTCATCCATGGCGTAAAACACAATCATACCTAAACCATTCACAGATTTCATACAATGGTTCCCAAAGATAATGCGTGGGGTTGCAATATCTGTCACAGGAGGGGTTCTAAATATCAGTGAGGAGAGACAACATGGAAAGGGGCCTACATAGACTGGAAATGTTGTCAGACCAAAAAGGGTACAAAAATAGAGCTGGGAAAATAATTCTGTAGAGAGAAATCCAGTGGAAAGCAGAATCTTAGGAAGGAGAAATGCTGGAAAGGAGCATTATACGGTATTATACTCATAAGTGGTACTTATAGAGGATTTTACATCTATAAAACACTGTACAAATATTAGCTACCAGCACCCTGGGAGGCAGATAGAGAACAGGATTGCCATTAATATATATGTAACAGTCACAGTTTAGCATTAGAGCAATCAATGTCTATAATGTTAGAGAAGAATGAGCAGGAGGACCCAGAGGCGGATTGAGTAGCCGGGCTTCTTTATTGCTGTACTTGTTCCCCTTGACCCAGTTGTCAAGTAAGCACTGGATTAATTACAGCACACACTTTTTATTTAAACGCCTACATCGGCTATAACACCCCAAAACCCCTTATTAAGTAATAGAAAAACCCATACTATTGTTGCCGGCCCAGAGGGCCCCGAGCGGGCAACAGGGTTCGTTGCCCGGTGTGCGCCGCACCAATAGACACATCAGGTTGGAGAAGCAAATGAAATTTATTCAAGAGCTCTGAATAGGCACTAGGAGACCAGCATGTCTCAAATCAAGCGCAGCAAATACAAGCAAGTGTTCCATTTTATATTCCAAGCTGTTTCTGTGTAGGTTTTGTCTGTTTCTTCCCCACTACCCCTCCCTCCCCAACAATGGTTACAGCAGGCATTACTTTGTGGCATGTGAGAAAAGTTCTCATTTGCATGCTTATCTTTGACCTTGCAAGCTCTACATAGTAGGCCTTTCCCGCCCCCTTTTCCTCCTTGTTATTACTACTGCTTCTGCAAGTATGAGCGAAACTGCAGCTGTCTGCTAAAAAGCTAACAATTACATATTCTGCTTCAGCATTTAGGCTGTTAGCATGTAGGTAGGTTAAAGTTCACAAGATGGAGTTACTGTGGCTCACTTAGAACCAGAGCAGGGGGGTTTCATCGGCACTTATGGCCTTCCATCCCCCCCAAGTTACCTAGTAGCTATGCTTAGTGGCACCAACACTATGATTATACCCACCCTGATTGACTCATTACAGCATTACGCATATTATACACACATTTTTACCTTGAACATATATTTCTTTGCAGTAATTTGTCGTCACAAGTTCCCTTAATCAGCAGTTCTCAGGGGAGGGAGGAAGGGGCTATGACCCAGGGCTCATTTATGTAGCTGGGAAAGGAAGGGAGGGGGAGATAACACCTTTTTTACACAAAGGTTATTCTTTAGACAACTACATTCCTTATGCAGCTGCAATGCTTATCAATTCTCAACAAGCAACAGGGAAGGGAAAAGGATGGCAACGTTTTATCAAATGGAGAAACACTGCTTGCCTCTGCCCTTATCCCCTAATGCCATGTCAGCACACCAGCAGCTTCCCAGGTCTTTACTTAACCCTAACATATCCCCACACATAATTAGACCTCATGCTTCAGGGCTTCAGATAGTCATCTTCAGGGGTCAGGAAGGTGTTGGACCCTCTCTCTCCTCTTGCATATTTGTGGGGGACAGGTTGCCCTCCTCTGTAGCATCTGAGATTGGCCAAGCTAGAGAAGGGAGGCTGGATGAGCTGGAACAGACTCTGAGATGGTAGAGAGAAGAATCTTTCTTAGACACCTGGCTGACGTGTCTTTTCCACATGCTCAGGGTCAAACCGATCACCAGATTTGGGTTAGGAAAGAATTTTTTCCAGGTCAGATTGGCAAAAAATGAACCTTGGGGGATTTTCATCTTCCTCTGAAGCATGGAGCAGGAATCGACTTCCAGGATCATCCGGCATCTCTCACCTAATCAATTCCCTTCCACTGCATGGACACTGGGCATTAGCGGTACCTCAGTCTGGGTGAAATATATACAGGAGTTCAGACTAGATGTTCTAATCGTCCCTTCTGGTCTTAAATTGTATGAAAAATAAGTGCTATCACCATT